AGGAATTACTCTGGTTTGTGAGTGGTAGAGGACATGGATTCACAGAGGAAGAGCCAAGATTTATGTGAAGGAAGCAGCATTTTTGACGTATTTCACTTTGTATAATGCCCTCAAATTCTGTGTGGTTACAAATGTTGGGATGGCCTTTTTTATGGCCAACTAATACTTCATTGTATATATAATACACATTTTCTTTATCCATTCATCAATGCTCAATTAGGTTGTTTCCATGGCTTGGCTAATGTAAATAATGATGCAATGAACATAAGGGCACAGATATATTTTTTTTAATTTTTAAATTTTTAAAATATATTTCTTACATCATTTTTCATTTTTGCACAATGTATGCATTTTCTTTTTGGTTATATTCCCCATACAATTGCACCACCTTATTTTGACCTCAATCCCTCCTCTCCCCGACCTCCCCCAACCGTGTGTCTCTGGTTTATAGTTGCTTGTTGATTTTGATACTTTCTTTATTATAGTTATTCTTATTCCTTGTCCTTTATTTAGGTTTTCTAAATTCCTGCTGTGAGTGAGACCATCTGGTATTTTTCTTTTTCTTTCTGGCTTATTTCGCTGAGCATGATCCCTTCCAGCTCCATCCATGTTGCTGCAAATTGCATGTGTTTATCTTTTTTGAATGCTGAGTAATATTCCATGGTGTATATGTACCACATCTTCTTGATCCAGTCATCTATTTTTGGGCATTTGGGTTGTTTCCAAAGCTTAGCTATTGTAAATAGTGCTGCTATAAACATAGGGGTGCAGGTGCCCTTTTGAATTAATGTTTCTGTGTCATTTGAGTAAATACCTAAGAGTGGAATTGCTGGATCATATGGAAGCTCTATGTTTAGTAGGTCCAGAAATCTCCATACAGCTCTCCATAGTGGTTGGACCAGTTTGCACTCCCACCAACAGTGCAGGAGAGTTCCTTTTTCTCCACATTCTCGCCAACATTTGTTGTTGCTAGTTTTTTTTAATAGGAGGGCACAGATATTTTTTGAGTTAGTATTTTTATTTTCTTCAGATAAGTACTCAGAAGTGGAATTGCTGGATCATATGGCATTTTTAATTTTTTTTTTGATGAATTTCCACACTTTTTCATAGTGGCTGAACCAATTTACATTCTAATCCATAATGTATCAGGGCTCCCTTTTCTTTATATACTCACCAAAACATGTTCTTTCTTTTTTTCTTATTTTGATAGCAGTCATACTCACAAGTGTGAGGTGATATCTCATTGTGGTTTTGACTTATTTGCATTTCCCTGATGATTAGTTGTGTTGAAGCATCACTTTTGAATAGAGCGGACACAAATATTTGAGAAAAGCATCTAATATGAGACTTAACTCAAAGTCTCCTTTGAGGAAATGAAAACCATGTAAGAAAAGGAAAACTTCAAAACAACTATCCTAAAGCTCAAAGAGATAAGATGGTGCAGTCCAAACTAAGGGCTACTTGGAATTGAATGCTATGAAGGAGGAACATTCAGGTCACAAACAGCTCTTAGAGATTTAAAATTTGGTAGCAGAAACAAAAACCTTAATAATGGAGTCGAAATGTGGTCAATGATGGGAATTTTTTCCCCCTAGTTACTTTCCCAGCACCTTGAACATTGTTTTGCATATACTAGACACTTCACTAAAACATGTTTAGAGAATGACTTAACTCAAAGTTAAGTCATGATGATGCAGTTGGGTAAATCTCTCTGCAATAAAGCAAAAAGATCCAGATAGAAAATAGGAAAGTAAAGCAAAGCAAAAGACTTTCAGGAGATCCAACATCTGAATGAGACCCTTCCCCCCCAAAAAAAGGAATGTTAGATGGGAGAAATAATCACCCAAAAACTGTTCTGTAAAAATTCCTCAAAATGTATGCCATAAATACTCAGAGCCAGCAGAGTGGGTGAAAATAGAGCTACATCAAGACACATTATTATAAAATTTCAGAACATCATGGACAGCCACACTGCAAGCTAAAAGACATTGAAAAAATACTTTCAAAATCTGAGGGGAAAATAATTTCCAACCAAAAATTCATATACTCATGAGATCAATTATGAGGATAGGATAAAGACATTTCCCGAGATCCAGGACCTCAAAATTTTTTTCGCTGTGTACACATATAAAGCTGTTAAAGGTTGTACTCGTTCAGATGAGAAGCAGTCCAAGAAAATGAGACATGTAACTAAGAAACAAGCTCCAACATAAGACAAGTGAGGAAGCACCCAGCATATTGATGAAAGGCAGGTCCAGGATAACCGCTGTTCAGCAGGCTTGGAGAGCAGCTGGTCTGGACTGGAGTAGACCAGAAGGCACAGAGAGTTTTCTCCAAAAACATGAAATTGATAGAATACCTAATACGTTTTGAATGTGTTAAGGGGATATTTGCATAACTGAGGGGGATTTGGAGGGTGAGTTAGTGATGGGAAGATAGAAAATCGGCCATACCATTATTAAGTACAGGGAGACAAATGGAAACCCAATAATGGTATACAGATGACTTGGCTACCTGTATATAATATAATAACATTATATATATATATATAAAATAATAGAAACTAAACATAGTCTTCCCAAACTTACCTCTGACTCCACAAGGAGGATGGAGAAAATGTGTATGTATCCAGGGGAATGTGGAAAAGGAAGGAGCATTAAATCTTCATCTTCCAGATGAATCAGTGGAGTCTAAGAGCTTTTTTTTTTAAAAGCTGTATTATAAGCATGTTATTAATGACATAGATAGAAATAAATTCAAGGGAAATTCAGCTAAGAGTGTTGAAAGTAATTGCCTCCAGGGAGTAGGAAATGGAATGGAGTTGATGGGGGGGGGGGGAAGTCATGCTGGCTTTTTTTTTTTTTTTATCATAAGCCTTACAGAAATATTTACTCTTTATATGCATGTAAATTTTTGTTAAAAGGTAAATTAAATTAATAAAAAATAAAAACGTTAGGTGGTAGCAGAAGAACAGGACCAACTTATAAATAGCAGAACACTGATTTTGGACAGAAAATTGAAAGTCTAAAAGTCTAAAAATCTACAAAGATAACCCAAAGCCATTCTTCCATTCCACATTAAATAGACTTTTACTGCCTCAATGACAAATTATTTTGGATGTTATTTTATAAAACTAACTTATGAAAGTGAAATACCTGTCAAATTAAAGGAGCAGCATCTCAAACTTGGGCAAAATATGGAAGTCTCTAGAACAAGGGACTGTGTAGGTCATGGGCATCTATCTATTGGCAGAATGCTTTTAAGGGGGACTGTAAACTTCATTTGCAAAGAATTGAAAAATAGATCTACATGATACAGCAATTCCAACACTAATTAGAAAGAATATATGCACTACTGTGTTCATTGCAGCACCATTCACAATTAGCCAAGTTATGGAAGCTACCTGTATCCCAAGGACAGATAAATGGATTAAAATGTGGTAGACAATGGAATATTATTCAGCAATAAAAAAGACAAACTCTTGCCATTTATGACAGTATGGATGGAACTGGAGGGGATAATGCTAAATGAAAAAGTCAGAAGACATGGGCAAATGTCACATAGTTTCACTTAAATGTTAAAGGGTAAATGAATAATGGTCAGGCTTTATGCGGCTGGCCTCTGTGGCTATCACCTGTGGCCTTGATTGTGCTAATGCAGGAGATGCTTGGGGGCTTGGGCTCTGGTGGACACTTGGAATATGGTATGGGCATGGTGTAAGTGTGCACACCTGAGCCTGGAGGCTGAGGCTATAAGGGCAGCATCACTCAGAATGGCTATGGTGTAAGGACTATGAGACAATGAGTGACTACAGAGAGGCAGGACCATGATATGATGCCAGGGAGAGCCCAAAGAGTAATAGTGAAGATTTGCTGGGGGCTGATAGGCCTGCCAGCCTGCCTGCCCTGTCCTTGCCACTACACATATGGAGTATAAAGGGAAAAAAAGGCGTTATTAAAACCAATCCAATAACAAATCCTAGCAATCTGTCTGTAGATTTAAGATTATCAGAGGAGCAGCAGGAGGGTGGAGAGCAAGGTGTGCAGGTGGCAAGTGGGCTGTGGTGGAGGACTACAGGTGCCTTGGTGGTAGGTGTGGTGTGGTAACATATACCAGAAGGTGTAATCCTATTCCTGCAAGTAACATACACTATTGTAAGCCAATGTTACCTCAAAAACAAAAAATCTTCCTGGTCCTAGTTCTTTGGATTTAATGAAGTCCAGGGTGAAGATCATCCCGAGAGACCATGGATACAGAAGAAGGTTCAGGGGACAGAGAGGGAGAAGATGAAGATCCGGAATGTGGGCTCTGCCGCTGGGTGAACTTCCTCCACTCTCTGTTCCTATAGTTCTTAAAATGTGAAGAAAGAACCATATGACCTTAGTTTCCTTGCTGCTTGACTATTAGATGATTCTGTAATTCATCTCTGACACACAGGAACTATGACAGCGACCTACAAGAGGACAGGCATTAGGGACTGGCTTCAGCACCTTTGGTTTGCCTGAGGCTGATGCCTTTGGCACCACTCAGCAGAGGTAGGTGCAGGTTAGGGCAGAACAGCAAATGGTGACTCCTGCTTTGTTACTCAACTCCATGTCTTCTGGTTTCCCATTTGTAGGTTTGTTGGAAAGATCATGGGTTTTTTGTATGGATTAGTACTTGGCAGGTAGCGGGGTGGGCAGTGAGGGTGGCATAGCATGGCAGAAAGAGCATTTCAGGTGAGGGAAGAGCTTGGGCAAAGGCACAGAAGTCATGAAAAACTAGAGCAGCTCAGACAACTGCAGGGAAAAGAGTGGGCCTCTGCTTTTTAGCTGCAGGCCATCATCTCCCTGGGAGGGAGACACTGAGGTGCTATTTAAACTAGGTGGTAGAGGGGGCAATGTAAGAAAGGGCGGAGACTAGAGTGGTTGATATTTTTATGATGAAATAAAGGTTTCCCCGGTTCCGCGGATGGGATTTGGCAGGAGTGCTGCAGTGGAAGGAAGGTAAAGGTGGAGAAACACAGAGCAAGAGGGAATGAGGAGATGGAGGGCCGGGATGCATTCAGGTCCGAGACTGAGTCTGGCAGGGATAAAGTTGGGTGGACAGAGTCAGTGGTGTGAGACCCGTCACCCAGAGTGGGAGTGGGGTGAGGCTGCTGTAGGTGGTCCTGGTGGCTAGCTGCAGCCTTTACTAAGGGGCCTGGCTAGACCATATCTGGGAAAGGCTTCTGGACTGAGAGGGCTGGGCTGTGAAGAACCTCCTAACTTGAAGGGTGGAAGAGTCTGGCTGGTGGAAGAGTCTGATGTCTCTGAAACTATTATCTCATCACCCTTAAAATGGAGATGATAATAAGGACAGAATCTAATTCTTGGGTTTGCACTGAGAAGGTCCCACAAGAGCTGATGTGGGTGAGACAGGATTATGAGCCACAGAGAAACGTGCTTGGAGAAACAGGTTGGAATTATCTTCAACTTCCCTCCACTCTGGTTTCTCTGCTTGTTCCATACCATCTTCACCTCTCTGAAAGAGATGATGGTGTATTTGCTTTCACATTGAAATGAAACTTTGCGTTGACCTCACACTTCTCAGCTGCTGGATTGGCTTTCAGGGAATTGTGGTCTTAGCATTGACTTGCACAGCAGCACTGAGATAGGCAAGGCAGGCTCATTTTCTGAAGCACTTAAAACCTAGTTATTATTACTGTTTTTTTTTTTTTTAACAGAGCATTGCTCATAATGATTGTAACATTTGATACAAACTAGAATTGAAGCTGGAATGGAGGCTGCTGCTGTGTTAATTACAGTTAATTCTCTCTCATGGGCTACTCTTTGTTATGTTGCCCTGGGACTTCTTCCTGTCCTGCTTTATCTTTACCTCCAAGCTTTTTATTACTCATGACTTTGGCCTGCCAAGACCTTTAATGGTTCTGTATTACCCTACAGTGCATTTTCATCACCAGCTTCCACAGGAAATTAAACATTCTGTCACTATTTCCTGGTTTAAATCTTGAGCGATGGTATGTGTTTGGTCCAGCTCAACATTTTACACCAGGATCAGTGGTCATGTTCACCCCTGGTCCTACAAAGTGTGGTTGTAAGGAGATGGGGCTCTGTATACCCAGACACCACCCCCTATGGGACAGTGAACGGTGGTGGACAGGCCTGGTGAGGGCTGTCTCCAGTGTGATCACAGTGCTCCGGATGGCAGAATGTCTAAGAAGAGCTGCAGAGTGCCCTTCTGGCCAGAGGACTGTGATTAAACATCTTCGTAAATTAAACCGAGATCCACTTATGGGACTATAGGCAATGACCTTTGTTTTTATTTTGCACTAAAACTTTACAGCTCTAGATTAGATTTCAGGCTCTAATAGTCTTCTAAGTAGTTAGGTAGGAATGAAACATCTCTGCAAATCAAATCAGTGACTGTCTTCTGCACATTTGACTCTGGGTTCTCACTTCAGTTGGCTCCAGGACAACTGCCCCAACTCAGCTCCCAAGTGCAGACTCGAATGCTCATGAGATGAAAGTTTCTGCTAATTGAAGGAATCCATCAGTTGAATACCCCATGATATGGAGGTAATTTCTAGCAAAGGTTTTTGTGGCATTAATTTGTTTTACTCTGACAACTTGATTAATCAGTTTTATTGTGACAACTTGTTTTGCTGCAATGCTGCCTAATCAGAGAGCTGTCACCAAAATACTTTATGGCTTCCCTATTTTCCATCACAAATCAAAAACTCCAGCGACAGCTCACCAACATAAGAAGCCGCGATAATTAAAATGCATTCCGACAGAATTAGGAGACATTCAGTTGGGCGATGATATTAGGGGAGATTGCACTCGAAGAGAAGGGAACAATCTGACGGCACTCTAAGTAATTACGCAGCTTCACGGGCAAACCCCAAATGCTGCACCTATGTAACAGTTCAGGAGTGACTTGAGAGACACCTCTGCTGGGTGTCTGGGGTTTTCTCTATGGATCTGGGAAGAGCAGAGCTTCTGCTCTTAAATGATTATCAGGAGCAGTGCCATTAGGAGTCACCCAAAAGTCAGCAGGAACTAGAGAACATTTTCAGGAATGGAGCATCTATGCAGGGTGAGCTTAGGAAGCTGATTGCCACCTGCTGTCTAGGAGCTGTGCAGGGAGCCTGGGGGCTGTTGGCGAGAGAGGTGGGGAGATGGGATGAAGACGCGTGTCTTCAGAGGGGCACAGCAAGTGATCATTTTAATGAACTTAGGAAATTTATTTTTCTGCATTTTGCTTGTTATGCCTAGAAGCGTTAGTGAAGTGATGCATTGAAAGTGCAGTCCCTCAGCAATGCAAAATCCACTAGATTGTTAATATTTATTGAAAAACCATAATGCTGACTATTTTTTTTTTTTTATTTTTTTTTTTTAAGAGGCATGTATTTTTATTTATTTATTTGTTTGTTTGTTTGTACATGCACTGGGTACAGTCAGAAGCGCGGGAGGGTGAGAGAATTCACCAGAGCCAGAGCGGGGAGCAGAGCAGGCAGAAGGACCGAAGTACACTGCTGAGGGGAGCAGCGGGCGGCAGGAGAGGTCTGCGCACCATGTGGGACCCTCCTCCGGATGGCCGGGGAGCAGCCGGGGATCGAACCGGCGCCGCAGAGGCCGCGGGCAGTTTCGCAACCCAGCGCTCAACCGCTGCGCCACCGGGGAGGCCCAATGCTGACTATTTTTAAAGAACCTACAGTGTGCCATGCAAGCAGCTCTACCGATGCTATAATGGACAATTATTACAATAGCCAGATAAAGGCATCCTTTGTTCCATTTTCCAGGGAAGAAAACTGAGAGGCTCAGAGAGCTTAATGTGTCACAGGCAGTGAGAGAAATGACCAAGGTTCTAAGCGCAGCTTTTTCTGCTGGGCCCCCTCTGGGCTCCCCTCACGGTCTTCCTACCTGGGGTGATCCCTTGGGGTCGCCTGTTCCTTCTCACTGAATGACACCGGCTGCATGGCATTGTCTGCCATCTTTTCAGACGCAGGTGGAGAGGCTTCCTTTCCTGACCGTGGTCAGGTGTGTGGGTGCAGCAGGTCCAGCCTTGCATGCAGAAGTGCAGGGAGCCAGTTCCGCCACATCAGGCAGTCTGTCTCCTTGCCGTCCTGAGTTATGAATGGGCAACGTGTGCTCTCCCGGGCAGGGTCCTGATTTGCAAGAGCTATGGAGATGAGTGTTATGATAAACAGGACATTTATGGTCCCAGATGCCACAGGGCACAAAAGTCAATATGTTACATGCTCGTTTAGCATGTTTGACTCTAATGGAACAGGTTGGAAATAATTGACTTTTAAAGAAATGCTGCATTTCATCTCATTTCAGTCAGAAGGCACAAACCCGCTGGGTGATTGTAACTCCAGCCTTCACAAATTCACCTCATTCTGAGATTGGCAAGTTGGGGGTGGTGGGAGGAAATAGAAATATATGCGCAGGGGGCGAGGTGCTATCTACCCACCCAACAAAGTACAAAGTTGGGTATTTTTTCATGCTTGCAAGGGTCTAAGCTCTTCCGTAATTGGACCTTTTCTTCCTGGTGGTTTCCCTTGGATTTGTGAACAGTTTCCTATTGGTTGATCAAGGTGTAGCACCTCTGGCCTGAGGTGGTTGGAAACAGTGTTTCTTTGTTGTTTCCCAGTGGGAGTCTATGAAATGGTGAATGGCACAAAGCTTGATATTGATAAGTTTTAGGATCACAAGGAGGATGTTTTGTTAACTAGCATCTAGCTGGTAAAGTAGAAAACTACATTCGTTATTTTTACAGACAAAATTGGAAATAGGGAATTGATTAAACAGATGTTGGATAACTGAGAAAAACAGGCAATAAGGTGGTAACACAGAGGCTGTGACTAGGTGAAGTAGTTCCCATCCTAGGGCTAGGGGAACAGAGGAGGTTCTCAGGAGGGTACTACATTGTCAGAACTCAAACCGCTGGAGGAGGGAGCTGTGCCTGTTTGGTCTTCCTCCTCTGCGGGATATAGAGGTAAACAGGACCAACTTCTGCACCAGCTATGGGGATGACACTGGTAAGAAATGGAAGTGAATAGGAGGGAGCACCCCTGCTCCCTCCTCTAACCTTTTAGAGTCCCTTTAGCTTCCCCTACTGGTAGAGCCTGACAGGGCACCTGCTGGCAAAACAGATATATGGTTTGCGGGGGCCCAGAATCCATTAAAAAGTAGAAGTATAAGAGAGTAGATGTGCAACTTAATAATGAGCACAACTGTCTTTACAAGATAGCATAGTGTCTGAGCATGTAAGAAATAAGCTGTTCAGACCTGATAAGACCCAACTGTGTGCTCAGTGCCACTGCCCATTAAGGACTCTGGTCAAGAAAGCCTTGCTGAGATTGGCTGCCCCTCTCAAATGGATGCTCGTCTTCTGAAAAGCTTCTGTATCCTTGGCTAAATTTATTGATGCTTTAATCCAACTGTGTTTTCTTGCTAATCGTGTGTCCTTGGAAAAATTGCAGCTGGTGCCAGGAATATGATAGTTTGATTGGTGTCAGTCTCCCTTCCTGCACCATGGTTAGATTTTGGAAGGAAAATGAAGAAGAATGGGCCTGAATGTTTTTGTCAAGGCCATTGCATGAGAGCTGTAGGAGCAGTTAAGATAGGGAGGCTGACTTCAAAGAGAAAATTGAAGAGCTAGTGTTACGTTATTACTTTAACATGTGAGTTAATCTTTGTTTTTACAGAAAAGGCTTTTGAGAGCTGTGACCTTGCCTTTTACTGTTTTGTGCAAACTAAATGAGTTTTTTAAAATGGCTTTCAGAGGATAGAGTCTTGGAAATAATTTTATTCTTCACAAAGGTGACTTTTAAGTGCTAGAACATTAAAAATCCCAAAGTGAAATAGTCTTCAAGATAGTTCAATGCAATTGTTAAGTAACTAGCTTTGGCCATAATTTGGTTTAGAGAAAAATGCCCTTTCTGAAATGGAGCTAAGAAAAACACAAGTCTGTTCATTTATCACTGAAAAAGTTCATCTCCAGGATTGGTGCGTCTCAGGAAGGTTATACCTTTCCCAATCTGTTTGGGTCATTTTGGAATCTTGGCCTGAGGCCATGGCTTCTGCAACTTCTGCACAGGGTGACTGAGCTCTCCAGGTAGTTTCTGTCTGGCCGGTAGGAGAATCACACCTTGCCAAGGTCAGCTGTGCTGAAGGGACACAGAGAAGAGATCGTGGAGAGGTTACTTTCTCCAAGTTCTGAAAGAGGAGTGAGGAAAGGGATATCATTAGCTTTGATGAGGGATGGCTCAGAAAGTTGAGCCCAAGGTCACTGAAAGTCACCTCAGGCCATCTGGTCTCCTCCCCTGAGGGATGGGGCTACTAGTGGAAGTGCACACGATAGTGACCCCTTCCCTAAGAGCATAAAACAGGTAACCAAACATCTCTATCTCCAGTTACTTGGATGTGCAAAATGTGATTATCTTAAAAAATGCATCATGAATTCATCCCACCCAGGTCAAAGGTCATTTAATACCTGACCCACTGGATTTGGATATGGCAAAACAATTTCTTACCCTTGTAGATCTAATTGGGTTCTCTCCATGCAGTTGCCCTGAAAAAAGTGACATTTTTTCTCTCTGTGGTTGAGCAGTTACCACAAAAAATGCAAACAATAGTCACTAAAATCTTTAGTCCATGTAAAGATTGGAGTTTCTTGCTATAAAATCAAAATGTTTAAAACTTACCTTGTTTCTGGAGTCAATGTTGGGTGTTATGAAAATGTAACGTGAACACAATGCTTGGATTGGAATGTGTTCGCCTTAAGCATCTCTTAGTGTTGGAGGTTTTTTTAGAAGCCCCTCCAACATTGCATAAATATGAAGTGCCTTAGAGCAATTGTTCCACTTGAACTTCTGAGAAAAGTATGAACAGTCACTTTTTTAGTTGTATTTCCTGACGTTAATTGGATTTTGAAAAGTTTGGTGCAAACTCAAAACAAAAGCTACCTATGATAGAGATCAAAGAATCATGAAATTGATTATGAAATCATGAAAGTGATCATGAAATTGAAGAACTAAGAAGACTTTGATATTAAACCGGTGAAGCTGGTATCTGGGTTCCTCTTTTCCTTGCTTGTTACTTTCTGCAGAATATTGTTTGGAGACACTTGACTTCAGTTTTCTCCCCCAGATGGAACTATGTTCTCATTGGCAATGAATTTTGGATTTGCTCTGAGGTGTCTTTTTTTTTTTAATTAATTAATTTATTTATACAAGCACTAGGTATAGTCAAAAGTGTGGGAAGGTGAGAGCAGGGAGCAGGACAGACTGATGAAATACACTGCTGAGGGGAGCAGCAGGTGCGGTAGGAGAGGTCTGCACGCCATGTGGGACCCTGGCCGGTGGCCGGGGATCGAACTGGCGCTGCAGAGGCTGCGGGCATCTTCGCAGCCCAGCACTCAACCGCTGTGCCACTGGGGGAGGCCCTGCTCCAAAGATGTCTTAAACCTGTGTGGCTTTTGGTGATTCTCTGAAGGGAGGTTGGGGTTGCATTTTTCTTCTAGATACTGATGTTTGAGTGATATTGATTGATACAGTGCACATATGTAG